CAGTGGTGGTGGAAGCATCTCAGCGCTGGTGTGGGTCTCCACGTGGCTCCTCTAGCTCCAGGGCTCTGGCTCCATCAGCGTAGCTCCATGTGGCTTGTCAACAGAAATGTGTAGCACAGTGTGTCTGGACTCCAGTGAGCTATTTATCTCCGTGGCGTTTCCAATTGAGATCATCAAGCTGAGACCTGATAAACAGGCTAGACTCCACCCCCTCGCAAGTTGACAGATGATGTAACTGCCATACTCGTTCACTCCCTGACCCCTGCTGACCCTTCTGTCATGGGCCCTGTCATTAAAATCTCTCCCCAAGAACCACTGGGATTGGATTCCATTACCTGCTGGACAGATTTATCGATGAAAATGGAAAAGGAAAACAAAATGCTTCTCCCTCGGCCAACCAATGCCATTCCTGGGATGTTACCCCACAGTCATTGACCTGTGCTCTGAGACATGGGGCAACAGGGATTTGCAGGCGCAGCCGTTCCCAGGGACAACAGCAGGGAAGAACACAACTGTCTCCCGGATGTCAGAAGGGGCTGGTCGTGCAGTCAAACAGGGATACTTAGCAGCCGTACTACCCTCTGGCCTGGGATGAAATGATGCACCAGGTGAAAGCAGAGGACCGGCTTAGAGGACTTCACAAAGTCTGTGGAAAGACGCCATTACCTTCCCACTCCATCTCTCCATGAACTTTCTGAAGCCCCCTTGCCTACGTTCCATGCAGTGGATGTTCTCTGATGAGGCTCCAGGGAAGCTGGTGGTGGTTTGCCATTGGAGAGGGCGGATGGGGGGGCTGGGGTGCAGGTGGGCAGATCATCCCCTCATTCCCTGACTTGGGCTTGGCTTGCTCAGGGGGAACATCAAGTAAGAGCAGATGTGACATGGGCCACAGCCACATTAAAGGTGCCCTGCCCCTTGGCTGGGATCCAGGGCTTCTTCCACTGTCCCCTGAAGGTGTTACCTTCCAGCCAGGACTGCACCTCCATCCTGGGCCCCAGAAGGAGGCACCCAACCCAGTGTACAGCTTAGAGGCCAGCTCAGTTGAGCCCAGCTGACCCCAGACCCTGGGGGTCAATAAGAGAGGGCTGGTGTCACGGCGTGAGGAGGCATGTGAACAAGGCACAGTGCTGGTGGGATCTGAGGAACCCGGGTCTGGGTTGTGGGGTGTGTGTGTGTGTGTGTGTGTAGCCCTCGTGTATGCTGTGAGTGGGTAATCATGTTGCTCCATGCAAAGAAACCCAACCCAGACCAAGCCCACCGCCAGCAAGTGAATTCTGACTCACGGCGACGGGAGTGAGGGTTTCCCAGGCTGTCAATCTTTATGGGAACAGCCAGCCTGGCTTTCTCCCATGGAGTGGCTGCTGGCTTTGAACCGCTGACCTTGAGGTGAGCAGACCAATCCTAACCCAACAGCTCCACCGGGGCTCGCTCTCGCGCTCTCTCTCTCTCTCTCTCTC